CATGAATCGTTGTGCTGCTCTACAGGTACGCTTTGTGGTCATGGGGAATATGTTTTGCACAGAGTTGAAGATTCATCGCCGCTATGACCTTAAGGGCTCTACTCAAGGGAGATTTACAGAAAAGAATAAAATCAGAGAGAAGACTACCATGAAAGATCTTGATCTTGCTTATGAATTTCATATGGACAAGCTGCTGCGAGAGGCTCTCTTCAAGTGAGTTCTCTACTCAACTCTTTTAAGAATGGTTTCCAGCTTCAGTAAAAAATAGGCTGTTACTGTACATGTCACTTGAATGATATATCGTTTTTGCTACGAACTCTTTAGGTTTATGTGCTATGTGAGTTTCCATATAAGTCAGCTTTCTGTTGCTGGGAACATCATGTGATCATATCTCACTCGTCAAGCAGTTGTTTCTTATGATTCTGTAAATGCTTTTATAATGTAATTAAGATGATAGAAAAATCGGGTGGCGCGGAGAGTTTACACCAAATGTCTTACTTTCACTGTTGTCTCCATACATACCTTTTAGAAATGAGATGTTTTCTATTCTCTCTGCCTTGCCTTAAGTTTAGTTTTAGTAGTGAGTTTTGTTTGATGCTCTTCCTGTGTACCCTGGATTTTCCATCGTCTTAAATTCTCATGCACCTAAATTTCTAAATTGCAGTGCTAAGCACAATGAAGCTGTTTTTAGTTTTGCATTTTTGTTTGTCTAATCTTTTTTTTTGGAACCTCTTTGTTTCGAAAATGGCAGGCAGATTTTGTTAGACTGCTCGTTCTTGGAATCTCTGCAAATCATTGATTACAGTCTTCTGTTGGGATTACATTTTAGAGCTCCCGAACAACTTAATGACATCCTAGAGCCTCCCAATGAAATGTCAGATCAAGAAACTGATAGTGTTGCTTCTGTTGAAGGTAGTTGGCCTCTATGTTATTTTTATAAAAGGTTTGTCTTCTGTCCAGCATAGATAAATAGTCTCTCTGTTGTGTTTCTTCAGTCAGTTTGCCTCGTGAACCCTCTATTCCTCCAAAAGGGCTGTTGTTGGTTACACACGAACCTAGTTCCGTTAATACTGCCCCGGGTCCTCACATCAGAGGAAGTACACTACGAGCATTCGCTGCTGGGGAGAAAGAAGTTGATCTCCTTCTACCTGGAACTGCAAGGTCAGTCACTTCCCATTTTCTACCTGGAACTGCAAGTTATTCTTTTGTTTACTAAATATAACCATTACCGTTTGGAATTCAAATTTAGGCTCCGGGTACAGTTAGGAGTAAACATGCCAGCTCAAGCCCACCACAAACTCCGTCAAGAGGAGGAGGAATCAGGAACGGTCGAGCTCTTTGAAGTATATGATGTGGTCGTTTACATGGGCATGATCGACATCCTGCAAGAGTACAACATGAAAAAGAAAATGGAACATACTTGCAAATCAATGCAGTATGATCCAATGTCAATCTCAGCCATAGAGCCTACACTTTACGCTAAACGGTTCACTGATTTCCTCCTCAAGGTATTCCCAGAAACAGCATAGAGAGATCACATATGGTTTCATGATTTGACCCGGTCAGTATTCTTTCTTACTGTTGATAAAGCCATAAAGGACTGAGGGATTTGGCTCGTAATGTTATTTTCGTCTTTTATGTACACTAACATTTAGGATCTTATACCTTCACAATAAATTTTCTAGTATTGAGTAGATTTGTACCTCTCTCTCAGTGTGCAATTACTGGCCAGGTTGGGTTGAGAATATATATATATATCTAGTAGTAATAGTTTCAATGTAAAGAACAGAGCCTCTATAAACGGTTTCTTGCAAGCCAAGAAGGGACTCTTCTGATCTCCTTGATACTCCGGTGGGACTGCGAAGTAGAAGGGGACTAGATATGTACTGTGATTTGGCGGAAAGAAGAGTCATAAGATGATGAATAAACTACATCAGATCAAAGCTGTGTTGTGTTTGTTCAGTAAGAGAGTGAAGAATGACGATAGTTAATATTTTATTGCAATTAACAGCCCCATTAAAATAACCAGAAGCTCTAGGTTTATACGAACGATCCTTGAAGTCAGGCAAATCTAATACAACAACAATGGATTTTTTTTGGACCATGGAAGATGAGTGTTACTGTATATAAGCATCGGAATTATAAGAAACCATGGAAGATGAGTGTTACTGTATATAAGCATCGGAATTATAAGAAACCATGGACGATGAGTGTGGTAAGCTTCTTGTTGGACGAAAATAATAAAGTGGCAATGCTCTTTGCCACTTTATTTGTTTAGTCTACCAATAAACTTACCACCTTTCTCCACCAAGAAACATACCACCTTTTTGATGCAGACACGAAATCCACGAATGTTTGGATCATAAGACTGTCGAGAGTTTACAAGTTTAATGTTTTTAAGATGGTCAGTCAAATGTGTTTGAAATAAGATGGCTGTCACTGAATCCAGACGAGAGACAGAGATTCAACTTGGTTTCAAGCTTAGAAATCCATCCTAGTAAAGAAAACAAAAGAAATGAACAAAAATTCTCATGGAAGATTAAATTAAATACTTTTGTTTTTGATTATTAAAAATGGTGCATTTATAATGTAGAAATGAGATGAGCTTTATAGGCTTCTGTACAAAAGACCTAGCAACGGTATGAACAAAATAAGGAAGCTAAATTATTCAGAATAATACTAGAAATTGAAAGATATATTGTCAAAAACTGAAAGGAACCGTTGGAGCATCTTTAACCAAGTGTGAATGCTGATTGTAATGTAAATCTTCTCGGATCTTTGTGTTTTGTTATCTTCTGTATAAATTCATGTAGTAACAGTCTTCTTATCCCCTGAGATCTCTCCAAGCCTGTTAGCAAGAGAAGAAAAGGAATGCCTTTCATTTGAACTTTGAATGTTCCAAATATTAAAATATCCGATAAAGGAAAGTATGACCCAGGGAGGGTCCGCCTGATCCTCTGCTTCCCGGTGCATACGAGAACTTCTTTAAATTTAAAGACGTGTTATTGGTTTGTATATTTTAATGAATTTGAAAATACAAATCAAATCTACTGTTATTGATTATATAATTTTAAAATTTATATTCAAATTCACTGTTATTGGTTTTGTGATTTTAATATAGATTTTAAAATCAAGTGTTATTCAATAATAATAATCTATTTAAGAATTTGATTTAAAATTGGATTTGAATGGATTTGTGAGTGTTTTTAAGTTAAAAACACAAATGACCAAATACTGAGTTGAACCTTGTTATTTTGTTAGATTTCTAATATTGGGTTTTCCAATATTTTATACCCCAAGTTTTATATACGTATTGGCACGTTCCTTCTAATAATTATAACAAGCACTAACAAGTATATATATGATACATTCACGTATAAGTGTGGTAACTATATATATGTTTCATAGTATCATCAAATTATGTGTAAGCAAAAATTCACGTGTACTTTTGAAAGTTCTCTATTTTATATTTTCTAATATAGTGATATATCACAAAAAGTATTGGGTGTGTATAATTTTGATCTTGACTTCATATACGTTCTTAGTGGATTGGAAAGTTTGGTTAATGATGTTTTTGAATAGAAAGATTTTAAAAGTAAAATATTTGAAAAATTGTGGTTAATTGCGGTTTTGCAAATCATTGTAACTTTTCGATTTCATATTGGGTTGTTCAATACCATTTGCAAGAGTATTTATTTTCTTTATTTTATTACAAAACCGAACCTATTACAAATTCATTTGACTGATTTATAATAATCCAGTTATTTTGATTTTTAAATCTACATCCTTGATTCTAAAATATATTTGTTTGATTTCAGAATCAATGAATTTACCCAAAATTTCAAAATCCAAGAATTCTTTTAAATCTATTATAATACTAGAACCAATAACCCTACTAAATGTATGTCTGGTTTGTAGACAATTAAACTTGCGAGGTTCTAAATTAGGCAAGTAAACTAGATGGATCTCTTAGTAGAATAAGGTTCGGGAATCCTAATAGAGTCTTCCTATAAGTTTAAATTAGAAGCCCATGATAACACCAAAGAGGTGGCATGAACTTTTGTAAAACTATGTTACCAGCGAAAAGTGATGTAGTCATCTGAAACAGTAAATCTGAGTGTAACCGGTAGATCCGATCCAAAAGTTCACCGCAAGCTCGAGAACCAGTAAATTAAAGCCTAGAAAACGACCAAGAAAGATGAAGGATCATCCCGAAGGACATAGATTCTTAATGGTAGATGATGATGATGAACAGAAATTTAGGATTTAAGAAGATTGTTTTAATGTTTGATTTTATTCTCTCTTAAATGAGAAAGAGATTACATATAGTGTTTATTAAACCAAAGTAAACCAATAAACCAGAAATCATAAAAGAAACTCTAAACCGGGAATAAATCATTATTCTTGTCACATCATCTAACCAATAGCTTCATCAATTTGTTCTTGGAAGCCGTTTAGAAGCCACCGGCTACATAACTCAATCTAAGAAGAGAGATTGAGAGATTTACGTACAAGAACACATTCCAACTTATCTTTGCACTGAAACACATTGTTGAATTGGCACACATTATGTGTACAGCTATTTTTTTTTGACGAAAATGACCTTACCTCTCTGTAACTATTAATTGATTTACGAAGACAATTGAATAAGTGGAAAAAGACATATAATTCTTTCTTTCTTTGTATTTCTTCATTTAAATTTTTTTTTTGTATATCTCCAACATATCTATTCATCATTGTTTCATAGTTTGAATATATAAAAATATATAAATATATATGTATAAAGTAATATTTTTTTTCTTTTCATTTTGGTATCCATGTATAGATATTATTTTTGATTAAATTTTATTATTAATTTAGTGAATAATTTTTTTTGTGGATGCATATTTTGGTAAAAATATGTTATGTAGATATTGTGAAAAAAGATCTGAAATTTTTTTTGTTTAAAGTTTTGTTAATTTAGTTTACAATTTTACTAATAGATCATTCTCCTGGTTTCTAAACAAAAGAGTATATCAACAAAATCTTATTGTATAAGCAAAAAGAAACAACATGTTTTTACAAAATACAGAAACTATCATTTTATATAAAACTCATAAATACCCAAAACATGGAAGACGCAGACATGATATTCGTTGTTATCTATATATCATATGACCACCTCTTATCCTACTAGTTCACTTTTGACCACAACTCTTATGTCCACAACGACCACATCCACACAACTATCGTCCACACCGATCACATCCTTTATTCACAGCAGCGACATCTGTTGTGTCATTCTCTCCACACCAGAGTTAAGACTTGGTCACCATGTCTTCCATGCCTCTCTTCCAGCTTCTTCATCCCTCTCCCAAGACACTTGTTACTGAAACTGCAGCGTCGAAGTCTTGGAAGTGGATCTTCATTGTTATTTATATCTTATCTGGCCAATTCGTCCATAACCCTAACTCCTCCAGGCTCCAGCTCCTTCCTCCCTCGCCCAAGACACCCGCCATTGAAATTGTGGTGTCGACGACAGAAATACTTATCGTGTACCTTTTTGACTGATCTCGAAATATGGCTTTCATATGCTACACTGAAACCACATCGTTGATGACAGAGGCAGCACAGAGATTCATCTGTATACATCTCCATCATAGAGATCTTTCATCGTCCATATCCATCGTAAAGTTGATATCTTTATTACAAAACCAAACGATGAGAAATTCTTAAGAAAAAAAAACAGAGAGAGGGAGGGAGAAAACAAGTTAAAGACTAAAGATTATTAGAAGATTGGATTCTTGATTAGAGAGTATGGGAGTTCCAATTTTTGGATCTGAAAAAATAGAGAAAGGGAGAAAATGATTAATTCTAATTTTAGAGATTTGTAAAGCTGGACACGAATAGGAAAAAAAGAAAAGAAAAAAAAATAATTATTTTTGAAGTTCTCGTTTGGTTTAGTTCAACCAAACACACTTTCACATGATTGAAGGATAAATTGGACAATTCAATAAAAGAATGTGCCTTCTAAACCTAATGTGTCTTTTTAGATAATTGAAAACTTGAAATGTGCTTCTATAAGTAAATTTTTTAACTAAGAACGATCTCAAAAGCATTGTTTTATTTCCAAAACATATTAAATTCAGGTTTATTATAGATTTCAAATTTAAAACCAATTAGCAGTAATTGAATTGATCATGATCCTTTATATAAGTTCATTAGTCTCCAACTATCAATGTGAGATTTTATCCATTAGCATATGGGCCATATACATCTTCATATCTAATGAAAATATATGAAAATGTGAGTTAGATGAGTGAAACGTCAAAAACAGGGAACAATAATAATGTGAACCAACAAAAAAGTTGATGTTAAGTAGTTTAATAAAAAAAACTAGTTACTTTATTGTACCATGTGCAGTGATAAACTTTTTTAAAATTAAATTATATTTAAAATAAAATTTATTAGTATTATATATTTTGACTAATATCTAATATAAATTTGATTTAATTAAGAAAAAAATAAGAAAAAATAAATTTGTTTATTT